TATCTTGGTAATTGCCACTCGCAGGGGCATTTTTTTGTCTATTCTCAAATAGTTTACCGCTACTAGACCATGGGCTTTCTTGCACTATAGGTCTGTGAAAATATTCACTTGTCCTCTTTGGCCATACCGATGTATGCATACTTCTTGACATCTTCTTACTCTCAGACGTCACAGTGAATGCAAATCAATACTCAAACATGCTGATGTTTCTCAATTTAAAAATGTCCTGAATTTGGGATAACAACCTAGACTAGATAATCTATATGACTTCCACATCAAGTTTTTACCCATACAACAAATTTACCAGTTGTATTCTCTCAATATAAATTTGGTTAATTCTTCAACCTTAATCTGGTACCTACTAAATAGTTCTGCCTCTAGTTTGGCCCTAATCTTTCACGGTGAGAAATACTTTTTCTAGGGCAGATTTGCATTCTTCAAATGTAAAATTTTCACTGCCTGGTTCACCCAATAAAAATTTACTGATGCCTTTGAACCAGTAACTTGTTACTGATACCTTTGTATCAGTGCCTGTCCTCACAGTGGAGCAGTTGCTATGGTGACATTTTGTACTTCCCCAAATGTGTAAAATGAGTATTCAGTTGTTCCAGAAAGTTCATTACCGAACTTTTGCTATCAAAAGTCACTGTGAGTTTCATTGATGCTTGTATAGCATTCACAATAAACCTGAATCCTTCCATTTGGTGCTGATGGAGCTTGTGATGCTTGGGGGTGGACATTGGCGGATAGGGCCTGTGCGATTAAGGGCCGATCAAGAAACTCAAACAGTCGAATCACACAGATGACTCTGCAAGACAGCCCTGCGAGTGAGGGTACATGAATAGAATAAATACTTTCACTTCAAAAGTATATCTTCCAATGGTATACAAAATGCACAGATGCAACAAATGGCAAAATATATTCTGGATAAAATATCAACTTTTAGAATAATTTTGTCTACTCATGTATATTTGAAAATATTTCAGCATACTGAGCCAGCAACGAAACATTTACAGACTAAAGGTTTAGATTACATCCGAGCATATAATATGGTTAGGGAAGCTACAAGCATTTTAAAAGCCATTTCTAGAAACTTCAATTTAATATTTAACTCGTCAAAATTGTTTGCAACAGATTGCAATAATAAACTAGAAAGGCTGGGTTGTGACATAATTATAGAAGAGCTACCTGCTAGAAGATACCAAAAGGTGAAACAAATGGACGACGAAGAATCAGCTGACTATAATTTCAATTGCCCTATCAAACAATTCAAAGTTACTGTTTTTAATTTTATGATGATAATACTATTTCATTGATGGAAAGTAGGTTTAAAGGGCATAGGAAGTTGTATGAAGACAAATCACTTCTCAATCCCCAAAACTTTTCGAAGCGAACACTTTCGACTATTTTTCTATATTATTAGATGTAACAATTGGTAAAAATCTTAAGGATATATCAGGACCTAATAAATAAATGTGAAATGTTAAAAAATTTAATTGAAAATCATTATTCTGAATCTAATACCGAATCAGGAAGAGAGAAAACTGTGTCTATTAATAACATTCATCCAAAGCTAAATGCAATTTCTTGTGTGCATATAAATTACTCTTGAAATATAATTTAATTTTAATAAATAGTATTGCATATGCCAATATCTTTTTTGCTTATGTGTTTGTACGTACCCTGTCTATAACGATGAATGTGAAAGCACATTTTCAAAATAAAAAATTGTAAAAGTAGTACTATGTGAAGCAAGCTAATTTAGAGTCATTACTGTTAATGAACATAGAGAAGGATATTTTGTCTAAAGCAAAAATTGAAGATATAATGGAGGAAATATTTGTCCAGGCACCTGGAATTTAAAAATATTTAAATGGCTAAATATGAATCAGCTGCTGTTTTGTTTATATAATTATTTAGTCATTGTTAGTTATTGTAGTTTATTTATATATATATATGAATAAAGTGTTACTTTCTTGCAAAGGTATATTTTTGTTTTATAAAATTATTTTTTATGATGATGACAATGATAACTTATATTTATAATGATATTTCATATGAGGTCTTAGGCCCGACATATTTTTTCCTGCCATGGCTGATTTCTTTGGCCAATCCACCACTGGGGGTGGAGACTAAAAGCTGTGTTGTTTTGAGCTAAGGTACGAGATTTTGTTCAGATGCTTATATAAAATTTAACCCCTTAAGTGCCGCAGAAAACGTACAAGATTCATTTCCCAGTGCCACGGTTTTTTACACAGGTGCATGCAGTTATGCGATGTATTAGGGGAAAATAAGTGCAAGTTTTACTTTCTGAAAACTGTTTACTTTCACAAAATAAAGAATAAAAGAAAAAAATGAATGCACAAAATTTAATATTTTGAGTAAAAGTATAATAAAAATGATGTTTTTATAATAAAAAAGATCCCTAAAATGGAGTTTCGATCAATTAATTTTTAGACCAGTAAACTGTAATATCAGGTTTCAGTCTTATACCTTGTGAAATCAGTATGCCTACAAAAACATATATTTCTTCTGAACTGGTTGAATGCCACGATTTTTTTCTTGATTTTTCATTTGCAAGGTATTGGGTCATATACTTATCTACAAAACGGTTAGTTTCAGTAACAATATGAAGCATGAGCAGTTCATAAAAAAATAATTCAAAAAAGATAAATGGGTTTGAAACATCCATTATATCTTTCTTTATTCCTGGAACCTACAACAAAAAGTAAATGAAAACAGAGGACACTGAATAAAAAAAATACGTTTTACTCAAACAACACCAGCCAATACCGCGCAGTCATTACTTTCATCGCTTTAGACACACCCCTCTCTCCAATTTCTCCCCAGACTTCTCTGAAATAGTGTCCTTCTTCGCATACTTTGTCAAAGTCATTGTGGTGTTGCATTCCAAAGCTTTGCGAATAACTTTACGGGTAGCAGCGCAAAGTAAATGGTAGTGGTTTGGAAGGGCGTATATATACACCTATGGCAATTAACACATCGGCTGAGCAAGGCGTATATATATGCCCATGGCAGTTAAGGGGTTAACTTGTTTTTGGTATCTTTGACTAAGTCCAAATTTTTAACAGACTTGGAATTAATTATCACCTCGTCTTTAATAGAACTGCAAAGTCTTACGAAGGTTTAATAAACCTTTTTATTAAATGAGAACTGGAATGTGATTGCACGACTTGTGCTTATAAATCAGCCAACAATTTGTGGAGATGTAACTTAAAGTAACAGTAAATTCAAATTTAAAACTAAGACCAGTAACCAAAGGCTACACAATTGATTTAATATAAAGCTGGGTCAATCTTCTCATTGGTGTAACAGTTAAAATTTCGCAAACTATAATGCAAGTCAAAAGAACTGAGCTAGCTAACCTATTTACGTTGCTTTGATAGGCAGAAACATGCTGTCTTACAATGTGAAAATCTCACATTATATACTCTTGAACTAATTTTAATTTGAATTCTCATAAGGAAACAAAAGAGAGAAGTCTAAATCATAAAATAAATGGTTATTTAAAATAATAGGAACCTTAAAAGTGTATAAATTTGGCAAATAATGTCTCTTGGCTGTTTTACTAATCCCATATGAAATGTGCATAAACAAGAAGTAAGGCTTCATTCCCTGGCAAAATTTGCTCTTCAAGTTGTATTGAAGAATTATATTTTTTAAAAGTTACACAAAGAATTTTTGCTATTTTTCAGATTTTTCAATAGTTCTTCTTTGGACTGTATTTTTATGCAAAGTATTTTTCTGATAATCTCAGATGATGACTTGTATAGCATAATTCGTAATACTTTCTGTATAGTTGGCATAATCAGTTCTTTCCAAATCATATATGGTTTCACTGACCTTATGATAATATAGGCAGTATTATCAAAGTACACACAACCCTCTATTATCTTCTTTCGATGTCATTGAAAAGATATTTGCTTAAAGATAGGTTATTTTATAAAATTATCTACGTTTATTTGAAAATAAAGCACACCTCTGTACTTTGTATCAGGACACAAATCTTCTTGAAGGTTTCATAGCTTATTTTGAAAATTCTCAGGTGATACTCAAATGACTTCAGAGTGGTGTAAATGGCTTCCAGAGTAGTTGATATCAATTCTGGATGGTAGTTCCTGTAAAGATAATACTTGAATACTACTAAAATAAATACATATTTTTATTGCCCATGAATTCCCTCGGTATCACTTGGAGTTTCAGTCACCCACTTCGGCCAATGAAGGATAACACCACTGAATTTGAGAGTCACTTATGTAGTATAATGTTGAATAATGCACTTCAGAAGATAACATTCATCCCCAAATCCTCTAACATGTACTCAACCCTCATTATACTATATAGGTGAGTCCATTGTAGCTGCAGACATTGATGTTTTATATCCAAGAATCATATTGTTGTTGTGCAGTTGTCACTATTATCTGAATGAAGTGTTTGTCATCCAGTGTTAGCATAACATTTTGTAGTCCATTACTAGGTTTGGGATTGGCTAGCTCTCTTGAGCCTGTTGTTTGCACATATGCATCACTAATGATACATTTTGCCCCTATATGGGTTGTTTACATAATAAAAATTTTTCTTTCTTTCTGGAATATTATTCATCTCATTTCAAAGGACATAACTTACTCGTACTGGGTCCTTTAACATTAATGAGACATAAAACTGCTCATAAAATATTTTATCACTGGCAGATGATGAAACATTGCTTTTGATGTTCCAGCCCTTCATTTACACAGCTAACACAATAGTTCAAAAAGAGCTGCTTATCCCATGCATGCACTATAACTCTGGAATTCTGCTAATTTATGAATCATAACCTCCTTTGCATTTCTCATACATTTCAGTTTATTCACATGATTCCTTCATGTTTTGTGGTAATGTGTATTAGAAGTGAGACTTTTTTTGGATAAAAAAATGTAGTAGTGTGGTCTATCTGTTCTAACCTATATGTATTATTATTATTATTATCATCATTGCAGGTCATATTTTATTAACTTACCAAGGTTATTGGAATGATGTTGATTTTGTAGTAAATGAACAATCTAAAGAGAATTTCTTTTGTGCTCCTGGTAAGTAATGCTTATAAGTTAAATTAATAAATTTGTTATGCGTTCAACTTTTAATTTTTGGCTGTGGGTTAAACAGTCTTCAGTTATTAATTAAAATATGCTTTGAACTATTTAGATCAACTAGTTTCTTTCTTAATGATTGTGTAATACTTACTAGTATTTTAATTGCTTCCTGCAATATCTTGTAGGATTATGTGGGTGGGGTATTGTATTATGTTTTTAATTGTAATGAAAACTGATGCTTAAATTTCATACTTTATACAAATGCACTTTGATTTAAAAAGAGTCTAATCATCTTTTTCTCCTCCTACAGAAGTGGGTAATATTTTCCCAGTTACCAGTGACTGTGATTGGTGGAGTCTTGGAGTTATACTTTATGAACTTCTCACTGGAAGGGTAAAAGCTTGATTTATAGTTTGTAAAAATATTAAATATCAGTATAATATAGATACAAGATTTTGTTCCAATATTTTTTAAGATTATTTAGTTGTAGAAAATTTCTGGTATGACATTTAAATTTTTACAGCTTTTATAACTAATAATATATTTTTAATTTATAGTCTCTTGTCTCATGTCATCCAACAGGCATTAGTATGCATACTATTTTAAATTTTCCAACTGATGTTAGTCCAGATGCTAAAGATTTTGTATCAAAGGTAATAAATGTTTAAAAATTAATTTATTAAATATAATTGAAAAGAAGAGTTGTGTTTAACATTCTAATGAAATTAAACATATTTGAAAATTTTAATATCTATTATATATATATATATAGAGAGAGAGAGAGAGAGAATTGTGATAAAATAGTTCTATTACCATTTGAACTTTTATTTAAAAAATAAAAAATTTTAAAAAAAAAAGTAACTTTGGTGAGGGATGTGTAAATGCAAAATATCAAGTATTGGGTATTTATTTTATTTCTAGTCAAAGTTATATCGCAAAAATGTTCTCCAAATATATAACTTGTCATAGCCGAAATTCATATGTGGTTCAGATTTGACTTATTCCAGATCATTTGTTTTTGAGAACACATTTATCTATGTTGCATAGATATTTTTTTATGTGTATCATGTTATATCTGTGAAATAAAATAACTCAAGAGTAGGAAAAATATAGTGTTTATTAACTCTTTGAAACCTGAAGCATTGGCTAACCTGTATGTTAAAATATCAAACCGCCCGAAATGATTTTCAAGAGTCACAGCAATTTCCTCCCCTCGCCATTCATTAACGCACAAAGAAGAGTGAAGATTTCAAATGACATCCTTTCTTCTTCGAACAAATAAAGATAAGAAACCATAAATAAATCCTTTTTGGGCAAGCTGTTTGCAAAAAAAAACTGATACAATGCATTTGGGAAAACTGCACCTGCTACTGCATGTCTTAGGGGATGGAAGAAAATGACATCGGAATTTCACCCATTTGGGGTAACAATGGGCGTTTGAATGAAAGGCCGTTATGGTCATTAAAGAGTTAAAGTTTTGAAATATATTATTCATTTTAGTTTGTGTAGAATAAAATATATCACTAGTATTGTCAATTTACTAAATTAAAATCCTTCTGGAATCTGGTGCAAATTACATAATTTTCATCTGATATGCATGGTTTAAATCTAGTATGCAGGTATAAGAATTCAAGTTAAATTTGAAGTATTAACTTATTAAAAAATTCAGTTAGTTATTGTGTTATCTGAACTTTATTTCATATTAATCTTTGCCTCTTAAATTTTTAAATGTTTTTATTTTTTGCAACTTGCTAAAAAATTATATGGATTTATTTATTATAGTAATTATGGTTCATTATTTATTATGCAATAGATGCAAATGTTTTGCACTTCACAGTATTTATGATATTCTGAAGAAAATGAGGACAGAAGATTAAAAGATTTATAAGTGCTGTGTATAGCCTCTTTCTTTTTTTTAAGGGGGGGGTGATCCATTAAAAAGAAGTCTTGTTACAAAATTTATTTTGTTACAGATAAGTTTCTTTTACATTAATTTTATCTTTACATTTAAACTCAGTTTTTGTAATTTTCAATATTAATACAGAAATATAAAGTATTAAATAATTTACAGTATAATAACAAATGTACTTCACATTATTTAATATTTGTAATAAAATCTAATGCAGGAGTTCGCAACCCTATTCCCACAGGCACCATGACACCCGCTGATTCTTTTAATATGTGCCTGCCGCTGTGCGATGACAATAAAAATGTTTTAGTTTTCAATAAAATTCTATGTGAAAGTTTTCTGATTTTTAATGAAATAGAAATTGCATCCAGCACAGATATGAGCAAAATGCGACCGATCTCTTTTTTTTATGTGCTTCTATTATTAATTCTATCCAACTATAAATTCGCTTTGAAAAAGTAAGTGGTGCTCGCCATCCGACAGATATTCTAGAATGTACTCTTAGAGACAAAAAGTTTGGGGACCACTGACATAAAGTATAACAGAATAAAAAAATTATAGTCACTGTTACATTATTTCTTTTTACAAATTTATTTTCTTTCTTTTAAATTTCTAGTAACTCACAAAAAAGGGGGAGGACGGAAGAAAAAAATGAATGATAGGGATTTTGAACATATCTGGCTTGGCTGATAATGTGCTATGTTTCTGTAGTTCTAGTCTAAATGAGTACACTCTATAATAAAGAATACTAACATCTTTATTTACCTTCATTACTAATTAAGTACTAGTATATGCTCTGGCATGTTGCCTTAGCTGAAATCAATGGCCAGGTGAAAGTTTCTGTCTCTCCACAGTAGGTGGTGCTGTACTATAACGTGCTACCAGCCGTTGAAATTCTAAATTTTGATATGTAAATTATAAACATGAAATTGAACAGTTTCAGAAACAACTAATTCTACAGTCCAAATATGAAAGCTAATAGGTAATTTTTCATCATGTATATATGATATCAAAATCATGTATATTTGATAATATAATATAAACAAATAATCATGAAACACTGTATAAAATAATATAAATATTATAAAGAATATAAATTAATTCACTATACTACAGTTTTACTTGCTCTGTAAAATAGTTCCATTTCAGTAAAAACACAATAATGTAAAACTAAGCATTATATTCCTTGATAGGCAGTAAACAAATTTTATTAATACATCAAATCTATACACCATTTGATGTTTTTGTTTAACAACTGTAGTTTGGTTATCTTTTCCCGTAAAACTTCTACGATTCTAGCTAAAGACCATTTAAATGGGGGAGATTATCTTCTTTAACATAACTTCCTTTAAATTTTCTTTATTAATAAACCATTTGTTGCATTTTAAAAATGTTTTATGTAAACAGTTTACAGTTTCCAAATAATTTGAAATAAAATTGTTAATAATCTGAAATTTAGAAAAATCTGTTATCTGTAAGATGAGACAAATCAGGTTCAGAATAAGAAGTAATGAATGTGCTGTTAAAACGTTACCCAGCATTAAGGCCTCAAAATTCATTCGCGTTTGTTGATAAAGTAAAATTGGGTGAGAATTGAGAGTACCTTCAATCTATGTAACAACAGTGCAAAATTCTTTTAAAGTCAATTTATAAAGTGCGACAGTAAGGATATGGTAGACTCTGATGCCAAATCTCAATCTGTACTCAATCAAATCCACAATGAGGAGCACAACACTAAGTTAGCAAGTCATCCTTCAGGCTCAGATGAGGAGGAGGTTGGGGAAGCCCCTACTTCATAAATCAAGGAAATCTTTCCCAAATGAGTGGAGGTCAAAATATTTGTAGAGAAGTATGATTCCAATATGCAGTCCCGGATCTAGCGGGGGGAAGGGGGCAAGCCGAGGTTCTTGCCTCGGGCAGCAACTCTCGTGGGCGGCAAATTCAGATATAACGCTGGATTGTATTTGCTATGTTGTTTGCTAAAACAGCTGTCTAATTTTAGTACAATGTTAATAGTTTTAAGGCCAATTTTAAAAACCTCTTTTAAGAAGATTTATAATTAAATACTAAGAACCCTTTTAAAGGAACATGAGTTAAAATAAAGTTAAGTACAGCCGATTAAAACTATAAATATAAGATCAGAAAGATGCAAATAGAGGGACTCCAGGCGTCACTACTAGAATCAAACTGTCCCTATCAGTAACGTCTGAAGTCCCTCTATCGTTTCCAGTCTGGCCGGGGTGTATTCAAATGAGAAATAGGACGATAGCTTGTTGAAGAAGTCGCCTGGTTTCCATAGCAAAGTCTGCTGGGAAATGGAGAAGCATTTAACTATTTTATAAGATCTAATCCAAAAAAAATTAACCTTGGGTCATCCCGGACAAATGAAATAATTCAAATTAATATTCGTCGAGTATATACAAGACACCATCATTATGTCTTCAAGATGTGTGTGTGTGTGTGATTATGGCAAAGCCTCGAGGGCTATCTGCCTAAGGGAAGGGATGCCTTCGTGGAGGACTTTCTAAGGGAAACTGGCTCGCATACACGTTACACATGGGGAAAACCACGAAAACACCCATGCAGCCAGCCCGTTCGTGGGATTCGAACCTCGGACCGAACTACCAGTGTTCAGCGACTTTACTGCTCGGCCGCTGGTGGGCCTCAAGATGAAGCAAGGCATTTAGATTTCTTTGCAGCCAGTCGGCAACATAGGCTCACCTTTGATTTGACTCGGAACAGTGGAGCGTATTTTGGATTTTAAAGCTAGATTACTTATTTTTATGGTTATTTTTTCGTCGTCAGGTCTCTTCTGTACTTTTTTTTAAAATATGCTTGCTTTTAATAGCCCGCATCATATTTAGCGAGACGCAACCATTTGTTTAGGACTGTTCAGTGTAATTACGTCAATTCTTAGTTATTCTTATTAAGGCAATTCATAGTGAATTTCATTTAGATTAAAAGAAACCATTAGATAAAAGAAATTAAATTAGATTAATTTCTTCCATTTGATGAAGAAACCAGGAAACTGCGCTGAGGGGCAAAAAAACGGAATATAGAAAACGAGTCAAGGATAAGGCCAAAAAGAGAAAACAAATTTCAGCTAAGATGAAAAAACAACTTTAAGGAAGAAGTAAACTGTCAGACCTGCCCAATTTCGATTATGCTGCGATTCTAGAGGGTATTAATATTTCTTTTAATTTGCACGACCAAACATGACTGCCTATATCATCCCTAAATAATCTACAAGTCAGCATTTGAAAGAACAACCTTCTTCATTGACATCAAACAAATAGCTGGAGGACATAAAACCATGACATAAAGATCTCTTCATTTAGATGGGAGCGGGCAGCAGAAAGACGAAAAACTAAAAACTTTTGATTTATTGGACCCATGCAGTTGACTGGTCATAGAAAAAAATAAAAGATCACCAACAATCTTTCTTAAGCAGTCAATCAGTATTATTAACCAGTAAACATCCAGAAAATGTAAACCCCAGTACCATTGAACGTGATGGCAGACATTTGACATGTAATACAGAACATTAATAAATAAGGAAAAGCTTAGGAGATCTTGGTTTACATATTCTAAAAACAAGAATGCAATTTTTTTGTACACTCTACAAGATTTATCAGAAACATGGTGCTGCCGCTAAACCATACTACAGGATTCATTAATTGGAAAAACGTTTTAAGAAAATTAACTGAGCATGAAGCGTCTGGAATCCACAAAGGTGCATCATTAAGTGGAAAATTCGAGTACCGCAAATGAAATATTAAAATATTTAAAAGAAATTAAAGATATTTCTCTTGATGCGGAATCAAACCACGAGGTAGGACATCTGGTACATGCTGTGAAAATTTTTGAATTTACTATCAACCTGAAAATTTGAGCTAATATTTCAGAATTCAATCGAGTAAATATAGAAATTCAAAAGGAATTCTTCTTACGTGTTCTGTGTAGTTAACGAAAGAACTGAGCAAAACTGAGGAAGTATACAAAATGAGAGAAAAATTCTACGGAATATTGGATACAAAGAGCCTAAAACAATAGCCAAAAAAATTGCAGTTGAATCTATTCTAACGAAGAAAAAATTCCACAGCACAAAAAGCAATCTGATGAACTGTTTGAGAACGAATCACGAACACTTCAACCTGTTCAGTTCGAAGTTTCGGCAAATTAAAACACATTAAAAAATATCTATGATTGTCGGTGAGCCAGGAGCATTTATCAAGCGATTCTGGCAACCGAAAATCAAACCGCAGATCAAATTATGATGATTCCATGCACTTATTTGCACAACAAAAGCCTTATAGAGTTTAATTTTCGTTACTAATTCCGTGATATTTTAATAGCGTTGAGGCAGGTAAGAACTTAAAATTACTTATGAAATAGGAAGTATGAAAAACAAGACAGGAAGCACGAATACTCTGCGTGATAGCCCATATTCTGTATAATCTTTTCAGAATTTTTCCTTTCCGCAATAGCCGATATTTTGTATGCAATGGTCCCATTAGTGGCTGAGCAATAAAAGCCGCTGAGCACTAGTAGTCCGGTCCGAAGGTCAAATATATGTGAATGTGCTGGCTATATGAGCTTTTCCGTTATTTTCCCCGTGTGTAACATAGATAAGAGCTAGTTTCCTTTACATTTTTTTTTTTCATGGGGCATTCCTTCTTTCGAAACACATATTAAGTAATCACGCAAATGTCCTCAGCAGTGGCCGAGTCATTAAGACCGCTGAATACTGGTACTTCGACCTTGCCTGGGTTCAAACCTAGACGAACGGGCTGGGTGCATGGCTTGGTTTCATGGATTTCCTCATGTGTAACGTGAATACGAGCCAGTTTCCTTTAAAAAGTTCCTTCACGAAAGCAGCTCTTCTCTAAGCAGATAGCCCTCCAGTCTTTGCCATATTCATATAATCTAACCTAACGTAATTTAAACAGTATGCAATAACACGGAATAGTGAGAAGCTTAGGAGA